ATCTCAGCTCCCATGAAAAGGAGAAGGTGGTGTACGCGTCTTCACCCTGAAATTCCCTCGGGTAGTGTTTTTAAAAGAAAATGTCATTTATTTTTCCTTTTTTGGTTTTTTTTTTTTCTCTCAGGTGCGAACCACTGCCTTGGCTTTTCTGAAGCGCATGTACGAGAAGGACCATCTCAGGGACTACATCGAAAAGTTTGCCCTGAACTACCTGCAGCTCCTGGTTCACCCCAACCCTCCGTCTCTGCTCTTCGGGGCCGACAAAGACACAGGTTTGCCTTCAGCATGCACTCAGCAGCCCAGCTTAAAGTTAGAGGTGTGGCCGCTTTAACATTTGCCATTCCAGCTAGTGACCACACATTGAATCTGAACTAGAACTTTTTTGTGCTGTTGATGCTTTTGGAGCATTTTTAGCTGTTTGCTGTTTCTGCTTCAGTTAAAGTGGGGAAAAAAAAAGATTGCTAGCATTGGCTAATTAGCAAATAGCCCGTTAGCACTTTACAATTTTGTACAAATATGGCCACGTCTGGCTACAAAAAAACAACATTATAGCAGCCTAAATGCTGACATTAAGCTGTCCAAGTGTGGAGTACAAAACCATCAGGAGATGTCACAGTGGCTAAGTCCATTTTTTATATACAGAGTGTGTAAGAGTAGCATTTTAGGTGCTTACTAAGTGAGTCGTTCAGACTTTTCTGACCTCCACTCTGTGTTTTTTGCTGAGGCAGAGGTGGCTGCTCCCTGGACTGAAGAGACTGTGAGGCAGTGTCTGTTCCTCTACCTTTCCCTGCTTCCTCTGAACCACCGGCTGGTCCACGAACTCGCCAGCGTCTACACCGAGGCCATCGCTGACATCAAACGCAGCGTGCTTCGAGCCATCGAGCAGCCTGTAAGTCACTCCTCACTTTCATTTCAAGCCCTTTTCGGATTTTTGATTCGCCATTAATTTATATCAAGACTCAAAGTTTGTATAATTAGCGGCGTGGCTGCTGTAAGTAAGAAGTAATGCTCCTCTTTCTGAATATTATTATCAAGTCTTCTTCTGTTCTTTGTTTCTGTAGATCCGTGGGATGGGCATGAACTCTCCTGAGCTGCTGCTTTTGGTGGAAAACTGTCCTAAAGGAGCGGAGACTCTGGTCACTCGATGCCTGCACATTCTCACAGATAAAGGTAAAAACAGGAACCGCAGAATCCAGTTGAATATGCCCCTGTTCTTCTGCTGATGGGTAACATAATTTTTCTCCCTCCACTCAGTGCCTCCATCTCCAGAGCTGGTGGAGAGGGTGCGAGACCTTTACCACAAGCGGGTGCCAGATGTTCGATTCCTGATCCCTGTTATCAACGGGCTGGAAAAGGTAATGATTGTTCTTCATCATCAGGTGAATGACGACAGGTGCTAATTTGGCTTTGTAGCTGTTCATGAAGACACTCAGGGCCACCTTTGGTGTTTTGTTTTGGTTACGGTTTATTTTACTTTTTATTTAATTATAATTTTGGACCTTTTTGTGGTTTATATATAT